GTCTTTATACTGAACTACTTAAAAAACAATGGACGATTTTAGAAAAGATGAGTTGATTCTTTGGATTTTAAAACACAGCAGCAGACGAATACCCTGATGCTTGTCTTTTGCATTCATTTTCTGAGGATATAATGGTCATCCTGTCACATCAGTTTTTATGCTTTTGTTTTGTTTGATTGGCTCAAAGTAAGGTTTAAAAGAGGTGGGTGGCTGATGAGAGTTTCCACCAGGCATCACCCTTTTATGCTGAGGCAGGTCTTTGTGGGGTGGAGAAGTTTGTGACACTGTTCATCCTTCATATCTCCAAATTGATTAAAAAAATACATTTATATTCAAAGAAAATAGAATAAAAGTCAGAGACCTGCTTGCCATGTCTTGCTTTGAAGGCCTGAGAAAGGAAGCGTATGTCTTGTCTTGCTTTTTTTTCCTCTGGTCCTATGTGAAATGATAGCTTTGTCAGTAAGTGTGCGGGTGCGCTTTAAAACGTGAATAGATAAATTTGGGGTACTGAAGCTCAAATTTCTTTTTTTTTGGGGGGGGGGGGGGGGGGGCAGATGTTTTCAACTCTTTAGGGTAGTATTCAAATGATTTTATTTCCTGCTTGAAGGAATAAGAAGTCTTCCTAATTTGTTAGTATATATACTGCTCAGGTTTTTATCCAGGCCAGCATGAGAACAAAGCTAGAAAGAAAATGAATTAAGTTTAAAGCCTTAGGTTTCTAAAAGGCATGCAGCTGCTGGGTGAGATGTTTTCAGAAATAACTGGACTATTAGTATCTGAATCAAACATTAAAGGTTAATTTCTCATAGATGATGAAATTTGCATCAGTTGTGCTTGTTTGTAGAAAAGTCCCATTCCCTAGAAGAAGTCCCATTCCCTGTTTATAAGCATTGGATTGGATACTGGTATCAAAGAAGAAAATAGTTTACCTCATTATTTAAAATTCAGGCTAGAAAGTTGAAGAGGAACAGTTAGAGGGAAGGATCTGACTCAGAAAATCAGAGGGCTAAAAAAAAGTTGGTTAGAGAAACCTGTCTTTGTTTTTGAAAAATAGTTAGATACAGTGGATGGTGAAGAACAGCAGGAGAGAGATCTGAAATCAAATGATCTAGATAAACAGAAAAGAGAATTCTTGTTCTTGGATGAGAGCATTCCTACATTAATTGTGTTGTTTCCATTTTGAATGCCTGATCCTTTTGAAGCTTTAAAACAAATATTCGTGATCTTCCCGCTGTGCCTACTTGTACCTGGTATTATTTGGTTATTAAGGAGGGCTGGCGATGCAAAGTAACTGGGCTGGTTGGCGCAACCCCGTCATCTTCCATGTATGTGTACTATGTGTACGTCTTCCTAGTTTTTTTCTTTTTCTCCTTTTTTAAAAAAAAAAAAAAAAAACTTTTTCACAAGGGCAACTGAGCCCCTGTGGGGAGAAGGGAATATTGCATGCGTGTGTATATGCACACGCAGACACATGTGTAGTCCCTCAGTAAGGCACAGCGGTGTGGTTGTGGCTAAGTTTAGCTGGGTTTTATGTTTTCCCATTGCACTAGGAGGTAAATGGCATTCCTTCACCCACCTTTGAATTTTCATGCTAAAAAGTACTGTGAGTTGAAATGTTTTTATTTCCTGTGCCTTGTTACCTGAAAGACTTCAGACAATCTCCAAGGTGGAGACTGTTGTGGTTGCTTGTGTTCTGCAGGTGTAGGGGTATTTTTTTTTTTATTGTGGGTGCAAGTTTGCGGTACAGTTTGTGGGAATCAGGCATATTTGGTAACACAAACTTCAACAAAACAATTTTAATCCCAGTCATCATCAAATGTGAGAGAGGTGTGACCTGACTGCTCTAAGATGCGTCTAGCAGCAAATATAGCTTGGATAAAAATAATCTCTGCCCCAAAATACAGCTCCAGTGAGGAATGAACAACACTACTCATGGTAGATGCTAATCTTACCACTTAATGCATGTAGGAAAGCTGCTTAGAAACTCAAGCAATAAGGGAAGAGGTTAATTAAAAGTCATACAGTTAATACTAGGGTCTGTTTTTCTACAGGTGTCTTCTTGTTTTTTAATCTTGTTATCGACTCCTTGGATTTCCTTCTATTTTCTTACAAGAAGAGGAAGCTTAGGGATTTGTTAACTAAATAAATCCTAAACAAACACATTCTATTTTGGAGGTAGGGCTCCTGGAACATATTTTGTCATTTGTTTGGCTTTGAAAGAGGACCAACCACACAGTGAAACTGACTTTCAGTCATTCAGAGGGGTCATTGTAAACTGCTGGGTTAATTTTTGTCTAGGCCCTGAAAAGGCAATCAAGTGTCAGTTTACATCCACAAAGGCATATGTTTGCACATCTAAATCATCATGTGTTTGTAATAAACTGGTTTAGCATTCAAGCCAGAGAGAATGGCTTTGGCCTCTCCCCCAAACACTGCAGCTCACTGTTGAATACAAAAGATCTCAAGTAAGAGACACCTGTGCTTTTGGTGTGAGAGAAATTGTGTTTAATTCCTGGTTAGACACTCATGAGTACATATGTACAGCAACTGAGTAGTATATGAGTAGTTCCCCTTCTGCTTATGAGCGTGATGTTCATCTTTATTTGCTGTTTTGCTCTCATGACATCGGTTATTATATCAGACCATTTTGATCAGGTGAAATTCAAGGACTGATTCAGATTTATTTATGTATGGATTCTAATTTTTATATCAAAGTCCTTTAAATGAAAGTTTTCAGAAATACTGCCTCTCTGGTATTTTTCCACTTTGTTGAAGTCATGTATCGTGGAATTGTAAATGGGACCAGGAAGCATAGCAGGTGTGAGAGCTGCCCTTCTCCCACAGAGTTCTGCTAGAGTGAGTATGGTGCAGCCTGAGAAACTAGAATAGGTGACAGAACATGCTGTTAAATTTATTCTGTTGGGCTTACTGAAAAATCTGTGAGATGCTTTGTTTGGAAGTTTGGCAAAGAAGTACACATTTAGCAAACAGGCAAGTGGGCAGATGCTATTCATATGAGCTCCTTGGAATTGTTTTTCTGAACAAGCATATTTTACTGTGTTATCTGGGTACTTTAGGTATTTTGGAACACAATTTTGCAATATGTGATTTGTGAAATAGTAAAAGATTAAATACGACAGATCACAAAACAAGACTTTTAGGACCAGTTTTTATTCTGTTTATGCAGAAGCAATCTGGCATTTGCACTCACAGTTACTTGATCAGTGTGCATCAGTAGGGTGGGTATTTTCTTACACTTCCTATAAAATGTTGGCTGTTGAGGTCTTGAGATTGTTTTACTGGGAAGTGTTTGCCAAAAACTAAATTATGGTTATTTCAGTAACTCGTTAATTGGTGATGAGGGTTATATTCTTTATGGAACTGAATGTCAAATAAAAACATCTTAGTAAGTTTGTTGTATGCTGAAAGTTTTGTCACGCCTTCGTACATTGCCTTTTTTCCATAAAGATTGGTAATAACAATAGCAAATTATTGATGGAAATAATGCTTTGCAGAACATGCCTCTGAGATACTGTGATTGGTATTTTTTATATTGCTGAAATCCTGACGTGCTGGGTGGTGAGGTACAGCATGGGTGACTGTGGCTGCTTGTTTTATTTGTTACTCATTATTGGTTGAATTCTTATAACCAGTTATTTGATCTTTGCTCAAATACTATGAATAAATATTACACAGTAAATATTTCTCTCTAAATTGAATTGCACACAGGTGAGTACTTTTATTTTCTAGGTTGAAAAATAATGTTATCCTCATGGACCTCTTTTTCCTGGAAGTCATCTGGGTATTAACTGTCTGCTCAATTTTAAATTTTCTTTTTCTCCTTGTGTGGGATGGGTGGCTGTATGTTGTCTTTGGAGCTTGTTAACAAGCTGAGACCCAATCAAAGTGAAGTACCCAAGTATTTAAATTTTCTTTTTGATATTTGCCTTTCTAGTTCCTGTAGAAGGTACACAGTGCTCAGTTTTTCTTTACTGGTTTTACTGATCACTTGCCACTCTTTTTCATAGGGTAATAGGTTTTCACAGTTCACTTTGCTTTGCTGGAAGCCATGGTTCATGTTCATTGTGGTGGAATATGAGGGCCAGCAACATGTTTTTATCTTCTACTACTTACTAACCTTATTTAGGGAGTGTGCTTGCATGCAGACATGACTCTCTTGAAACAGTAACTACAGTTATTTCCAGGTGTTCCCTTGGAGAGCCTTTTTTAGTGAGATCAACACAAGTGAAATTGTAATTCTTTCAATAACACCTACATGAAAGGAAAAAACACTAATCTTTTATAATAGACCTAACAAATTCCTAAGAAAATTTCCAGGCTCTGTTACTGGCTTGCTGCTGGCCCCAGGCTAAACTTTCTAGTGTCCGGCATTTACACGTAGACCTGTGGGAGAGGGTTAGGTATGCTGTACATCCATCCTTGTCATTGTCAGCACTGAGTTGTTGTGAGTGCCAAGCACTTGTGGACCTCTGGAAATAAAGGTGTCCAAAATTAGTCATTGTTTGACTCCTGTTTCTATTTAAAGAAAAAATATTGGGTGTTCTTCCTTGAGTGTCTTTATCTTGCATTTAGTAATACTTCACAAGAAAACCATTGGGCATTCAGGAATGCTCAGAAGTCTTTTTATTGTATAAAAATGTAGAGTCCTGTATTTGCTAAACTATGCTGATGATTGTGTCTAAATTCTAATGGCAGAATAGTCAGAGCAAAGGCAGAAACAAATTAATTCCTGATTTTAATAAATTCTGACCTAAGGACTTTGTAATTTTTAGTTGCTTGGGAGCAGGCAATGGAAAATCCTAGCTGTAGCCTATCCTGTCCTTAGCCTGCCCCTTGCAAATACTGGGGCATTTTAAGAGTATTTTAGAAATGATTAACATTATGAATAAAATAACAAGTATCAGGGATGGGGCTTTTAACATTTTTTCAAGTTTCTCATTGAAAAAGAAACGAGAGTTCTGATCATGTTTTTGTGTTTCAGGACTTAAAATGGCAGAAGATTCCTATATTATGTCTGATCCCCAAGTAAGTGGCTTTGTGTATTTCCAGCATCCCTGTATTCTCTCCTAGCTCTCTGTTTTGGCTTCCTCTCATATTGTCCTGTAATTTCCTAGGCTTGAAAACACAGACATATAAAAACATTCCAACTATCCGCAGAAATCAGGTTTGGGGAAATCTAGGGGTCTTTTTTCTGAGGTGTTATTATGTGACCTATAGAGTGCCTTGCCACTGGTGAAATGGCTGAAATGAAAACAAAAGCTAGGCTTGCAGGAAGGAGCAATTGAAAAAAATACTCATTTTTATTCCCTTGTCTGCTTGTGACACTTGCTCTGAAATTTCTTCTGGGGTGGCATAGGACTTTATATGCAAATAAAGCCCCTTATGCCCTAAAAGGCCCTTTTGTGTCAATTTTTTGGTGAAATTTGCATTGACATCGATGATTAAATGCTCCTTTACTCACACAGATCAGTAGGCCTAGCACTCCAGAAGGTCATCAGGTCATTTTATGATTCATTTCAGTTGTGAGAATGGTGCTTGAGTGATAAGTTTGAGTGGAGAACAGATTATTTCCATTCACTGTGATTTCAAAAAAAAGAAACTATTTAATCCTTTGTACTTGCTCCCCTTTGGAAGACGTTTTATACCTGACAGCAATTACAGTGAGTTAAGACATGTCAGTGTTAAAAAAAAAACCCAAACCTTTAACCTGGGTGTACTGTTTGCTTGCATTAGAGCTTGTAAATATATTTACATAAGGAATGTAGTATGGTGGGGTTTAATCACAGAAGTGGAAATGAAAACTTACAGGTTCGCAGCAAGGCCTTGGGCAAGACATCTAGGGTCAGATTTTCAGAATTTACCATCTAAGCTCCTTTGAATATACCTGTTAGTGCATGTAAGCAAAACGTGTGCTTAGAAACTGCGCTGCGCTCAGTGGGGTCTCATGATACTGGTGAAACTTAGTCAGTACTATCAGCTTTGCTTGCACTGCTGTTACCAGCAAAAATAAAATAGATAGAAAATGTTTACACGCTGCACTGGGGTGTTTGCAGTCTCGATATTTGCAGAGAACTTTGAAATTCTTTGCTGAAAGATGCTTTATGAAATTATGTCTATATGTAGTAACGAAGAGTATATTTTCTCTCATTATAGATGTTTACAATGGAGCAGTTCATGGGAGTGAATGCATTATTTAATAACACAAATTACATCACCTCAGACTTACCACTACGAACAGGTAGGAACTGTTGCTATGTGTTTGTGCTATTGTCCTGCTGTTTCTTGCAGGGTTGTGGTTTTTTTTTTTTGTAAAGTTTTTTTCAGAGACTTTTTTGTTTACACTCTTGTATTTCATAATACTAGATCCCAAAGCTGTCACCTAAACTTTTTATTACACCCTTACGCATCTCTTTCTTACCCTCATGAATCTTTCAGCAGTGAGGCCAATCTGAGTTTCTTTTGGCTTATACAGAAACTGAAAGTTTCAATTAGTTAGATGGTTTGAGTGACAAGAGAGCTTTGAGTGACCTGTTTTTATAAAGTATTTTGGGGTTTTTTTTGTATTTGAAAATGCAATTTTTTTTCAAAATTTGCATGTTCAGTGGCCTACATGTTTGTATTGCCAGCTTGCAGAGTGCAGCATATACTTTTTTTTTTCTTTTGAATGGTGTTTCATTTGTTGTAATGACTCTCAAGGTGCTTGTTTTTCACTAATAAAATGTAGAGTACATTCAACTTCCTGTATCATTCGAATCTGTTTTTCCTTCTCCGTGACTTGTTTCCTGTGAAGTGGCGGTCTGATGTTAAAAGTACCTGACAATTTCCTGAATAATAACACTAGTTTGAAAGTTCAGAGTCAAATTTTTCAACCAACTGGTGAAAATAAGCAAATAGTATTCTGCAGAGGTCTGATACGTGGTTCTTCCAGTATGGTTCCAAAACAGGAACATCGAATAGAAGTGTGTTATATCTCACTCAGTAATAGCAGCTTGATCAGCCTTGGTCTGGTTTTGCTTATTGAACTTCTTCATAAGTATTACTTGAATTTTGAAAATTCTGTTCCTCCTGCTTAGTTTATTAGAATAGCTGATAGGAAAGGAGGAGGGAAATAAAAATTCATAAGTGTATGAGGTTTTTCTTAATATGTATCTCCAATAATGTACCTCCAATATGGCTATTAATGTCTGTTAACATGACAAGTTTCAATTGTTCACCTGTTTGTTGTATCAGGATGTAGCTGGTATTGCAGATTGCTTTCTTTTGTTGAGAATGCAAGTCACTTTTGTTTGAAATATTTGATACACGACAGCAGTGAAGGTGTGAAGGGTAAAATGAAATAAGCAATTAGCTTTTTACTTCATAGGTAAAATTCTACCCTAAAGTAATAATAAATGCTGATTTAAAAATTAAAATTAAGGCATGCTTACTGTTTCCGTGTTTCCTGGTTTAAAACCATACTTCAGTTTTCTTGACTGAATAGTAGCAAGGTAGGATCAAGAAACACATAGGGTAAGGATAATTTTGTTTGAAGATAAAATGTTCTAATGAGCAAAGCTCTTGACAAATATGGACAAGCATCCAACAAATTAATGTTGCAATAGTTTGTTTGGAGTGTGTTTTTATTAAGGCAGATAAAATTGTTCAGTAAGATTCATCTGTGTAGGATTAAAGGGTTTGTGCATTGTATACCAAGGGTTTTTTCATTGTTCTCACTGAATTTCTGTGGAATAAATAAGGGTATTGGAATTTTGATTTCCCCATAATGATCTCTCTTACACATACCTTTTAAGCTTATCCTGTAGTCCTCATGCCAGACTCATTCCATACAAATTATTCAGAAATATAAAACTGATTTTCAGATACCTGTGTCCTGTCTGAACTAGAAAACAGCTGTTTTCAAAACCATGTTGGGGACTCAGGAATTCACTGAGTTCCAGAGTCACAGAACGCTCTTACTGGGCTAAGTGTAGGTCTATCCTTACTTTGTAAAATTGCTTCAAAAAGGCCTTCTCTCTCTCTCTCTCTCTCTCTCTCTCTCTCTCTCTCTTTTTTTTTTTTTTTTTATGGCACTGCTCTTGTCTACTTCTGCACTATAGGAAGCAAATTCCTTGTCTAGAAAATGGGATTTAATAAAGGATCATGGATTTCAGATTGTCACAAGCAAAACGTTAATTGTAAGTTCTAGAAAAAGTTAATCATTTCAGTACTACCTGATGATGCCGTAGGGATTTTGTCTCTTGAGTAGTATCACTATAATGCTTACTTCCTCCCCTGCGTGAAACTATGGTGCGACATTACTGTGGACTAGCTCTTCAGTTATAAAGTAATACAATCATTTAGATATTATGCTTTAGTTGTTTCTAAGCAGGAACTAATGATTTTTTTTCTACACTGTAAGGACAGTTAAAAATTTGTGCAGGATTTTTCAAAAGTTCTTCCAGCTGAGATATGGAGAGGGTGAAATAAATGTTCTAAAAAGGATTTTTCTCTAGGACTGTTGGATGATTTAAACAGAAAGAACCAAAGGCATTAATTCTTGCTTATGATTTGGTGTGGTGCCTACATCTTTCAATCTGTAGATTCACAAATGCACCGTGTCAGACTTGTTACATCGGCAGGCAGGTTTAATATGTAACTGTGGATTGCCCTATCATGCCAGCATAGATGAATCAACAAAGAGCTGGGGAATTTGGGGACTTTCTGGTGATAGATGTTCTGCTGTTATGTTAATATTTACAGTAATGGTAGAAGACTTTTGAGATGTTGGGACAAGGATTTTCTTTGTGAAGTTGTCAGTGCTCAAGTGTGTTCTTGCTTCTTTTTCTACGTCACGTGTGTTAGTTTTAAGTGAAAATTAGGCTTGGCTAATTTGGCTCTAAAGCTGTAGTAGATCATGACGTGGTTCAAGTTCTACATTTACATCTAAATCCAGGAAGAGAAGCAGTCCCATGTGCCTTTGGTGATGAAAGAATGTGTCTGTAACAAGTGCCGGAACAGTGCAAGCTGCAGGACTGAGCTGTGTCTTAAAAACACCACCAGCAGCAAGGGCAGTGTGCCCGAAAGCCAGCCTGTTCTTTGTCTCGCTGGGAAGTATCCTGCCTTGGAGAGTTAAGTACTAATCCTCAGTGGCATCGGGGATGGAGGGAGCGTTGTCCATGGCACATATTTAGACAGTGTAAAAGCAGATGCGCATCAGTGTGATGTCCACTGTGTAATGGAGAGACAAAGCGATGCCTTAAATTGAAGAGGAAAATGGGCAAAGCTCTGAGCAAAGTGGTTTATAATTTTGAGTGTTTCTTACTTCCTCCTGGTTATACAAGGCCATCTAGAACCACGTAACATAGCAATCTGTGTGCTGGTTAGAGATGGTTTGGGAAACTGGTTAATTGTTTGGGGTTTTAGGGGCTCTGGTCTAACTAGCTGTTGGCATTGAGGTGTTGTGGGTTTTTTATTGCAGTTGGACTAAGCCTGTGAAGTTGAAGCAGGTCTATCAGCAACTGAACGGTATTGCCTGGATGCTGTGAAAATTTGTTTTCTGATATTTCTTTAACGTCTTCTGCCCAACGCTCTGTAATGCCTGCTGTTGAGAAATGAGAAGGACACAGAAGGAAAAAGAAGTCACTTACAAAAAACTTTCTTACTTTTTCAGAAAGATATAATGTTTGGACGAAATTCAAGGAAGCCTGACCGTCACCAAAAATTAGATGAGTGTTCATTTTCCCTGTCCCACAGCAGTGGCTCTAACCCCCAGAAGCACGAGCAGACTTGCATACTGCTTCTTGTGTTTTTTCTGGATCTTCTGTGCTTGTATTTTGAAGAGTGAACTTGGGGAAGAGAGAGGTGAAGCAAAGCCCGTGTGCTGCTTGCTATAAATGTCATGCTTTGAAAACTGCGGAGCTGAGATGCAAGAGAAGGTGCCTGTGCAGGTGAATTCCTGAGGGGAGGACGTACAAACGCTACAGCAGGCCTTCAGGAGGGTTGAGATGCTAGATGTAGAGTCTGAGCTTTTATGAGCGAGGTACCACTTCCAGGATGGGCACAGTTGGTGTTGGATTTAACCATCAGAACCTAGACCTGTGGGTGTTTTCACCCATGTCTACAGAGGCAAATAGCACACAATTTAAGGGGTGAGGTGCCTGTTCTGGGGGACCCACTAACAGAGGAGGTGAGGGGGGAGACTGACCGCAGCTGTTTGCAGGTTAAATTGAATGGCTTCAGGTCCTAGGAAAGCTGGTGGATAGGGGCCTCACTAGTCCTACGGTGCTGCCAGGCTTGCAGGGATACCCCACCAACCTCACAGGTCCTTTTTTTTCTTGACTTTGCTGTGATGGGAAAAAGGAACCAGGAGGGAGCCTCCGATGGGTGCTCCCTTGGGAAGCGTGCGTGCAGGGTGAGGCCTGTCAAGAGGAATAACGAATGTACGTGGTGGGAGTGTCAAGATGCAGGAGTGCCTCTGACTCAGGCAGGAAGGAAAATGAAGAAATATAACAGTAGAAGAAGACGTGGGGAAGTGGGACTGTGACTCAGGCTGGAGGGGAGGCAGTGAGATGCGAGTTGGTCTGTGGTGACGGGGGCGAGAAGACAGAAAAGGAAGCACTGAAGCATATCCAGGATGTGTCAGTCTGCACCAAACCCCCTGCAGGCTGGAGGACTGCATGTTCTAGTTGCAGTTCTTGGCTCTCCTGGCTGTGGCAGTGCCAGGCAAATCGTGAGGCTCATGTCAAAACCCAGCTCTTGGCAACCATGAGAGGCATCCCTGCGCAGAGGCCAGCTCCAGGACTGTATGCACTTCAGCCTCTCTTTAGGGCAAACGTGGAACTTAAACTCTGCATTAAGTAGCATTCCTTCTTGTGGTTGGTTAACACTTTAAAGGGGGCTGCTCATTGCAAAGAACTTGAAGCAAGCAACCTTCCAACATAGAACAGAGGTGCGAAAGATAGTCACAAATCTTGTCATTCTTAGTTCCTCTTACAAGGTGTACATCTTCAGGTTCCTGCTGTCTGTCTGCTTAGAGCAGACATGCCTACTGCTAGAAACAAAATGTTTAAATGTGCAAAACAGTAAACGTCTTGTCTTTTCTTCATGGGAAAGGATGAGAGAAAGAAGGAACCACGCATAGCCAATGTTAGGTTGTCTGTTTAATGTACTTCTGGAAGGTAGTCAGAGTTTAGCAAAGATAGCTGTATGAGACCTTTCACTAAGTAAAATCCTTTTCGTAGTCAAAATAATATGCCATTTATGCTTGGAAGTTAGCTTGAACATTGCTGCTTTATTTTTAAATAGCATTTCAGAGGTAATTAAGTGCCTTGCATTAGAGTGCCTTCTCTGTACCGTTACTTGGATCTGGTTCAGATGCTATATCAGAGAATTACTAGGTCATTGTAGAAAAGAGTGTAGTCGCAAAACCCAAAGCTTAAAATAAGACCTCACAAAACTTTGTTTTAATGATAAAAGGTATCTAATTTGCCTTTGTATATTTATACTGAACCTTTTTTTGCACTTTTCTATTATCAGTATGTACAATACATAAATATACTGATATAAAAAATGAAAATGCTTTTTATAAGCTTTTTTCCAAGGGACCGTAAGAGCCACGGTCCTAATTTTTCCATTTTCCTGAGTTTTCACAAGTGCCAGGCAAGGCAAAACCATTTCAGTGGTACAAAGAATTCCCCTTGAGCTTTCCAATATAGTGTACATCCCTCTCTTAGGAGTTTGAATTTCCTTATGCTGAGGAAGAGTTGGAACCTGGGTCTGCTGCATCCTGAGGGACTGTTGCAGCCACTTAGCTGTTGGATAAAAGAGGGCTTCCTTTTCTGGCTAATGTTTAAGAGAAGACAGTAGTATTTTGTGCTGATACTAATCCAACATATATGCCTTGAAAATGAGTTCCTAAGGGGAGAACAGCCAAAGAACAATTACTTGGCAGAGTCTGCCCTGGAGGCTTGGTTGAAAGTTGAACTACACAGTTGTATTTTAGGTGCATTATTTCTGCTAGGGCCCGGAGAAGATACAAAGCCTCTGGATTGTTAAAGTATAGAATTGTAGATGATTAAAGCATGAGCTCTGTGAACAGAGGTCTTAAATTTTAAGCATCGATATAATGCTTAAACCCAACTCAACTCATGTTGACTCCACGTTACAGACAAAAACTGAAACATAAAACCGCACCAAAGCTAAATATTAGTCTATATCTCTTAAAGTTTCTGAAGTCCAAAGTATTTTTCATGCTTTCTAATGAAGATGATGTATATATCTTCTTGAGGCAATTGTTTTGCATGACTTCAAGGTTTTAATTGTAGCACCGTTTAGTTTTTCACAGGAAGAGCG